TTTTGTGATTGAATTAGGCATGATAAAATATGTCAATAGAAGCTAAAAAGTGTTCATGTGCAATTTGATATGTGGATGAGCTGTTTAATAAGTTAAACGAAATCAACAATGACTCCAGTGACAACTATACTTGCATCAATTTAATTGTTGTGTTTTATTGTATGCTTAAATATTTTGTTAAACTGTTTCTTTAAGTGTTTTGAATTAATAAGAATGATATCTATTTAGTTATCCTATTAAAGTCTTGGATTTTGATCTAATAGGCGGAAAGTTTATCATTTAATGTATTGCCTTATTGAGCCTTATATTTATGCCCCGTTTGGTACACATTATTTTTTTCATTCTCATTCTTCTACTCATTTTCAACCACACATTCTTCAATAAAATAATATTTTTCATCACATCAATAAATTTTCCTTCATTTTTAACCATACATTCTCCATCAATCTACTATTCAATAATACATTCTTTCAAAAGAATATGTCACAAACACACTCTTAGTTTATTAGACTTGTATTTTAACATTATTGTAACGTCTTAACCTAAAAAAAGTGAACAAAAAACTATTATTATTATTATTATTTCACTTGGATTTAGTTGGTATTTAAATTTAGGGTGCGTTAGATTGTAAGGGTGGAATATGGGTGGAAAGAAAATAAATTACAGGGAAAATATTTGCCTAGAAATTTTTTTCCCGGGAATTGTCAATTAGCTGCGTTTGATTGTTATAATTTTTCACCTAGAAAATGTTTAGATTTTTTAACTTTTGGTGTTTGATTGACTTTGTTTTCTATGGAAAATTATGATTATTTGTGCGAAACTATCCAACTAAACAAAAAATTTCCCACAACATCCGTTCATCCTCCAGTATCAACACCGACTGCGCCTCCCAGCCTCCTACTCCAACAACTTCTCCACCACCCGCAAGCCCAACTCCCCAGCCAACTCTGCCACCAGCTTCATCCCCACCACCGCCGCCCAGCCTCCTTCATGGGTCTTCAATCCGTGATTTGAGTTTACAATAAATAAGAAACGGGGCTTGAAACAAATCAATTCACAATATAATTAAATTCAGTTCAAGTCAACATGCAATTGATACATCCAAATCACTTCAATTGAATACAAAGCAGAACAGACTGAAGCCATTAAATATTTCAAATGAATTGCTGTATCTACAAGAAAAATAGGAAAATATCAATAGCCTCTCAAACAGTTCAGCATTAAAACTTAAAAGACAACATCTTCATATCCCAAAAATAATTGAAAAAATAGGTTCACGTCCACCAGTATTCTCTGTCTCTCTCTCACTGAAGACAACGCTTCATCTGAAGAATCGATTCCCAGCTGAAGAAGACGTCGATTCTCAGCTGAAGAAGAAGTCGATTCCAGAAATTCTGGGTTTCACTGAACATTCACAGCTAAGAAGACGCCGAAGACATGGATTCCCTGCTAAGAAGACGCCGAAAATTCTGGATTTCACCCTCTCCCCTTCTTGACCCACAAGTGGGTATTCTCCGCCATCGTCGTCGCCATCGCCGTCGTCTGGCGGTGGTGGAAGACCCAAACGCCCCCCNCGATTTAAAATCGGACCAAACCGTTAGGTTTAGGTTTGAGTTTTTCTCAAACCGATTTAAACAATTTAATTTGAAAATCTGTCAAAAATCAGTAAAATCGGACCGCTTACACCCCTAAAATTACTTCTAAACAACTTTAGTCTACAATCGAAAACATGTAAATATTTTTCTATCTTCATTCTTGTATTATCTATCTATCTAAATGTATAGGCGGCGGCTGTCGTCGCCACCACCTGCTGCTGCCAGCTTATTACTTAACTAATCTATCAGGCAGGCAATATAACTTTGATATGTCTGTCAGTTTCTTAGTATATGCAAGCCCATCCTCGGGTGTTCTCAAAAAGTGACCTTTTTTTTTTTTATTATATACGTCATTTTGATTACTTAAAATTCAGACAAGACATAATGATGATGTTTTGAAATTTATGAGGTATGATGAATAGGTTTGCAGCAAAACAACCCATGTTCCTAAAAGCTGTGGAATGAATAACAAAACTAAAAGAGAGAAAACCACTTTAATTAATTTTTCTTCTTTGCATTTGTTAATTGTTTTTAGCAAGAAAATCCTGGCTTGAGTGACAAGGTGATGTTTTTAATACGTAACTGATGATGCAATTTATCTTCTTTAATCATTCAAATATTTATGACATACTTCTAAAGTTCATGTCTATTTTATTTTTGTCAATAAATTACATCGAGACATACAGAGTGGCTAAAGTGGAACAAACATAGAGTATGTCATTTTAGGATTAGTGTAAAGAGTAATGTTATGTAGCCCACTATGATTACAATCTCAGTCTAAGTGACGTTAATGTGACATTAAATAATAAGTGAAATTAAATAAGTCATATATGTTTGACAGCACTTTTTCCCCTGATTTTAAGCATTTTTCTACCCGTTGACAGCCGCAGTTTTTGACTTCTCTCTCACACTTTACTGTGGCAACGGTCTAAAAATTGATTTTAATTTTGGCAAAAAACGCTGTTAGACAAGCGCTTAATTTCACATTTTATTTAACATATTATTTAAAGTCATCTAGACTGAGATTTTAACTTTAGTGGACTTAAATAGCATTACTCTAGTGTAAAATAGAATATGTTTCTCTTTGCTTCATTAGTATTTCATTTGCAATGGGTTAAGATTAAAAAAAGAAACAAAAGGGAAAAAGATAAAGTTCCCATACAACTGCTTCAATATCTTATAAGTGCACCCAACTGGAGGTGATGAGGTGGACCTTACTATTTTGACTTTTCTTTGAAAAATAATTGTTTTTTATATTAAAAAAAAATCACGAGTCAATTAATTTTGTACATTCAAAGTTTCAAACGTTCCAATTGCTCATTATTTCTTTATTTATTATATGGATATTTGAATATTAAAATTGTGAATCTTGAGTTATTGTTAAATGAATTCCGGTAATAATTTGATATTCATTATAATTAAATTAAATTTAGGTAAATATATGTAACAATACAGATAGGGGTATAGATACTCCATTATTTATAAGAACTTCAAATATGGATGATGAGAAATATGAGCATCGCAATCTTTAGAGTGTTCCACTCCTAATGGAACGGTAATTTTCCAACTGGATGAGTTATCGAGGTGAGGCACGGAAACTCCCTTGTACTGATTCGAGAATAGGACGAAAAGAGGGAATATGATTCGACCACGATAGTTAATCATATTTATTGTTCTTATTTAAAAAAAAAAAAAAAGAGTTTTGGGGAGGACAAATGGCTTTCTTAATAAACTTCATCACAAAGTTACTTTAAAAAGTGATCTACAATAATGAAATATTAAAAAGAAAGGTCACTCATAAGTCCAAATAAATTGGGGAGGTAATTGCAATTAACCATATTTATTTTCCTTGTCTGAAAATATAGCTAAGACTTGGTCATCCGGTCTACTCAAAAACTCCAGAAAAGTAACATCATTGAAACATAATCGTCATTTGACTTTTACTGAGTAAAAGTCTTTTCAATGCATTTGAGCAATTTTTGGCCTCTAGAAAGAAGAGGAATAGACCAAAATGTCCCTTGTTCAACCATCTCTAATTGACTACAATATATATTGCAATAATACTAATATACTCATAACGTCCATGTCTAGCCTTATGTCGAGTTATTAAAGATTTTTGTTGCATTAATCAAAGTGACGAGAGGAAATTGTTTATTTTCTCATATAAACTAGGATCGAATGGAAATCGTTGTGAAAATATGCTCTATTGGGGTCCTCAACCAATTGTCCTTACAACGAGTTAATCCTCAACTTCAATATAATTGCACAATCAGACCCATCCAAATATGATTAGATTTATGGACAACAATGTGATGTGTCACTTCAAGTCATAGACAACAATATAAGTTAAGCAGAAAAAAGAAATGATTTATAAAGTTTGGTCATATCTGAGCCACATAAAGATTTAACCATGATTTGAACAATTTAGTTGTTAGAGATTAATCGAACAACTATATTAAAAGGTTGAGTATTAACTTGCTACTTTTTAAACATTAAGGACCAACTTACTATTCCGACAAGACTCGGCAACAAAAAATTGAATAATTATATTTCTTGTTAAACTCTCGACCTCAGATATGAAAACTGAAAACAACAATCTCTAATTGTTCTCAATATTAAACTCTCGACCTCAGTTATGCAAACTGAAAACAACAATCTTCAATTATTTGGGACAAAGAGAATTGAAATTGGACATGTGAAAACATATTAATAAATTAGCAATGAATTGAAGATATGTTGTGGTCCCACTATTGTACTAGTACAAAAATATATGTTAAAAATAAAGAACTTTGCTACACGAAAGTTGACACTCCCGTGTACACGTCCCTCTCACAATAGGGGGCCCACAATTATTTTAATCATCGTGGACCCCCCCTAGCGAGGGGCGTGTACACGGGGGTGCCGTGTACATTTAGCATTTTTAAAAAATAATGGACTCTCTCTCATAAACATAAGAGTATGTACTCTATTTTTTCTTCTCAATCCTTTGGTGGAACATTCCATCAACTTTCTTGTTTAAAACAAATGTCTATATCCCTATTACATTTATATGTATAGTACACTTGCTTTTCCTCGAAATCGAACACGCCAATTTTTGTTGTAAGAAAATCCTCGTACTCTTTTTCTTTTCTCCCTCTATTTTCATGGCCGATATAAAAATTTTCTTTTCGACTTTTCACTTTCTACTTCCATTTTTCATTACTTCATTTTGGCCAAAACCATCCAAAGTAATAATAATATTAATAATTCAACTTATTATTTTTTTTATATTTTAATTTAAATACGATAGGTCCAAACTAAGATACCAAACTATGAAATTTGTATATTTCCCTGTTAGCAGCCAGAAATTAATGTTATTTGAATAGTATAGTCCTTCCCCAATATTATAAGTCTTGAATTTGTACGTTGAAAATTGAAATTAATATTTAATTAATTACAGAAATTAATGACAATCCCAGAAATGGTTTGGAAATTACATCATCCTTGTTTGTTTGAATGTGAACATTGCCCATTTGACTTGGTGGTCGAGCCAAGCTCGTGAGTTGATGGGCCGAAGCAGTCGTATACCTAACTACACTACATCTCCGTAACAATACTTTGACAAACGAGGCTGAATCGCAGTCATATACCTAACTATACTACATCCCTTCCTCAGTTTCTTCTCCTTGTTCTATCTCTAGACTACTTCCCTTTCTCTCTCTACAAATGAATTCCCAAAAGACGCCCTTTAGATGACGACACCCTTTACCGGAGCCATCATAATTCTCCTCACCGCCGTCGCCGTGTCTTCTCTGTCATCCTCAGCCAATGCACTCGGTGGCTCCGCCTCCACGGTGGCCGTTGTCTACGGTTCTGCCACCACTATCTGCACCATAATTGCCCAGCAACCCCTCAAACAAATTCAATGCTGGCAGAACGGTCAGCTGCTGCCTCCTATCATCCCCATCACCTCCTTCGACTACATCGCCGGAGGCCGTGACACCCTCTGCGCCACTCGCTCCGGTGGGTTCAGTCTCCTCTGCTGGAACACCACCTTCAACTCGAAAAGGCTGTATAACAATTATTCAGCTCCGTTAACTTATCTAACAATTGGTGACACTCAAATTTGTGGCCTAACAAACAACAGTTCGAGGCAGAACGTCATTTGCTGGCGAGGAAATGACATATCATCCGCTCAAACCTCAAATGAGACATTGAGATTTCGCGCAATTTCATCCGGGTTGGGATTTTCTTGCGGGGTTTTGGAGGGTACTAATCGAGTTTTGTGCTGGGGCGATGAAAGTATTTCTCTCTCCATACAATCGGCGTTCTCAAATTTTTCAATGTTGAATATTCAGGTTGGTGGAAGACATGCCTGTGGAATGGATAATTCAGGATTAGTGATTTGCAAAGGAAATAATGGCAATGGTCAGTTGGATGTGCCATCAAATTCATCATACGAGTACATTGGGCTAGCCCTCGGGTCGAATCACAGTTGCGCAATCAGAAGATTGAACCGAACGGTTGTTTGTTGGGGCGGGAACGGAGCATTTTCGAGTAATGTTACTGATGAGATTCCCTTTGAGTCTATCGTTGCAGGATTGAATTTTACTTGTGGATTGACAACAAGCAATTTTTCAGTGATTTGCTGGGGTCCTGGTTGGCCTTATTCTTCTGGGATTGAGCTTCCTTTGCAGAAGTCTCTTCCGGGGCCATGTTTGGAGACTCCTTGTGAATGTAATATATATCCTGACTCTCAAACACTTTGTTTTGGAAATGGTCATATTTGTAGGCCTTGTGATGATGCAGTTTCAATTCCACCGCCAATTTCACAACCACCACCACCACCAGTTACTAGTCATCGCCCTTCGAGAAGACTCCGAAGGGGTTTATTAGCGTTTGCGATTGTTGGATCAGTTGGGGGGTTTGCAGGGATTTGTACTGTAATTTATTGTTTGTGGACCGGTGTTTGTTTTGGGAAGAAGAAAGTTCATAACTCGGTGCAGCCCACTATTACTGGTGCTAATGCTGCTCCGCAGTCTAATAGTAGCCCACCTTCTAGATCATCAACTCTTCGGCGCCAGGGGTCGATTCTCATGAGACGCCAGAGGAGTGGAACTTCATCAAAACATGCAGACAGGGCAGAGGAATTTATGTTTACAGACCTGGTTGCAGCCACTAATAATTTCTCTTCAGAGAGCAAGATTGGTGCTGGGAGTTTTGGGGTTGTATACAAAGGCAAACTTGCTGATGGGCGTGAAGTTGCCATCAAAAGAAGTGAGACAAGTCCAAAGACGAAGAAATTTCAAGAAAAAGAGAGCGCGTTTGAATCAGAACTGGCATTCTTATCACGGCTCCATCACAAGCACTTGGTGAGGCTGGTTGGTTATTGTGAAGAAAGGGATGAAAGACTTCTAGTTTACGAGTATATGAAGAATGGAGCTCTTTATGATCATTTACACGACAAGAACAATGCACAAAAGAGTAGCAGTGCAGTGAATTCTTGGAAAATGAGGATCAAAATTTCACTAGATGCTGCTCGTGGCATTGAGTACCTACATAATTATGCAGTTCCGCCCATAATTCATCGCGACATTAAGTCGTCAAACATATTGCTTGATGCGAACTGGACAGCGCGAGTATCTGATTTTGGCTTATCATTAATGGGACCAGAAAATGATCGTGATTATAGACCAATGAAGGCAGCTGGGACCGTTGGTTATATCGATCCAGAGTATTACGGACTAAATGTGTTGACAGCAAAGAGTGATGTTTATGGTCTTGGAGTAGTGTTACTTGAACTTTTGACGGGGAAGCGAGCATTATTCAAGACGGGTGAAAATGGGGGTGCACCAATAAGTGTGGTGGACTTTGCAGTACCAGCAATTATGGCCGGAGAATTGGCCAAAATCTTGGACCCTCGGGTTGGTCCGCCGGAGATAAACGAATCCGAGGCGGTGGAACTGGTGGCATACACCGCTATGCATTGCGTGCATTTAGAAGGTAAAGATAGGCCTAGCATGACTGACATTGTTGCAAATTTGGAGCGAGCATTTGCTCTATGCGATGATAGCCATGGCAGCATCTCTAGTGGTCCAATATCCATTGTTTCAGATTGAAATTTAGACAAAAAATAAAGAAATTGATTCTCTCTCTTTATGTTCTCTGTTCTTTTTTAAGAAATTTTTTTGTCGTATAATTCATGTTGTGCATGATTTGTAGTGTAACTAAAGAGTCACATGACTCGTAGCTTAGGATTCTTTGTAGAACACTAACCACCATCAAACGAAAATTTTTACTTAATCTTTTGCTTTTGTTTATGTGTATCCAAAATCCAAATGAGCTTAATTCCTTCGTGTTAAGTTAAGACATACTACTTCCGTTTAACTATCCAATGCTAAATTTTGATACATCTACACATCAACTCTTTAAATTTTGACAAACTGGGGTTGTGGGATGCTTCATAAGAAGAGCTGAAAAGATATGGTACGTGTGAAATGGTACTAGATTGAGTTGAGGCCACGCGGCAGGAATAAAGTCTAATATGTACTAAAAAGTGGTCAGAGAAAGCTATTCTGCCACGTTATTATAAGTATTTATGCATGCTTAAACGTTGGGCAAAATTGACTTTGAAAATTCTCAAGTTAGAACATTCAAACATGTAGACCCGTGAAGCGGACCATTTTGAACTTCAAATCTTCAATTCTAACATTTAAAAAAATCGGTGTAACAGGTAAATAAATAAATTCTCTCATAAAATAAATGACCGTTGGAAAATTTATTCACACAATTATGGATAATAAATGTAGAAAAAGGCCCAAGGGGATAGGAGGTGGTGGATTTATTGGTGGCCGGTGAGGGGAGGTGAGCCACCCCTCCCAGGCAGTCAAAGGACAACAGAAAATTTTGAGATACCATTTCACATTAGCAGCTTAACTTAAAAACTAAAAGTAAATAAAAAAAAGTTTCAAGGAATTGCACGAACCCAATTGCTACACAGTTCAAACTAACATTTCATCCATTGTCTGAGTTTGAACAAAAATTTATGGAGATCGACTATATTCCTGGATATCTTCTTCTTCTCTGTTGCGTCTCAACTTCGTTCATCCAATCCGAGAGCCACATGAGGCCTTTATAGCCAAAATATGCCAATGGAGGTATAATAACAGCAATGAAGAGAAGCAAAAGAATCTTCCGAATAGCAGAAACGACTTTCTGTTAAGAATCAATTGTTGGATGAGAAAAATATTCAAGAGCTATCAATTACTTCCACTTTCGAATACAGCACAAACCTGCAGTGTTGATATATTCTTGTCCTCCTGTACCCGTTGTCTTCTTCTTCTACGTTTTGTCACATTACTTACAGTAGCAGGCTCCTTTTCCTTCCATTATACAGAAAAGAAAATTGGTGCCAGATTAAGTATGGGCTGAGAATTGCATCATGATAAAGTTAAAACACTCTAAAATATGCAAGACAGACACATAAATGCATAACTAACATTAGCAACTTTGCTCACTTCAGTAAGTACAGCTGTTTTAATGTATCCATACGACAAATCATATGGTATATTTATGAAATTGCCAATTTGGCAACCTCAGCAATATATCCATTATTTTTTTCTACAACAACTGCTCCAAGCGATGTCACCAATAATAAGTTCTAAAATTCACGGTTAGAAACTTCGATTATTCAGCACCAATAATGGCAAAACCTTGTACTTCAGAGGCCTTATTTCAGTCACCACACTCGAGTTTCTGTCCTCTGCTCCACAATTGCCTCAACGATAGGCGTTAAGCTTCAGAGGGAGTGCATTCTCAGCTCTTGCCTCTTGATACGTGAAAGTGCAAAAAGAAAAGAACACTAGCACTAATTCCAGCTCAAATTGAATGTCTTAGTTAGAATTGGCATAAATGCTGAAGGGTAGACATAAGAATCCTTTTCTAGGGTAGACTTCAGAAAACTTTTCTCATACTACCATTCAAATTCTTGACACAGCACACAGTGAATTGCAAGGTTGGGACCTTATATACACCACCATAAGTTAGTGGGTTGGGTCAGCTTGTTTCGGTAAAGATAATTCAAGGCCTGAGGGCTTGCATATTAATTTATACAACATTGAATAAATACCACTGGTTTGAAGTAAATAGTAATCATTACCTCCACCAACTTTGATTTACGAAGCTGTAACTCTGCATCAGAAACCTTCACTTTACTCTTGCAATCAGAATCACAAGGAAGAAGTCCAAATCCATACTGATTCCTAGATACATCTTTGGGATCACTGCCAGCTTGGAGATATGCTGATTGCACGTCCTGACAAAGCCACTCTGTTTTTAAGGTTTGGCATCCACAGCGAACAGTGACCTTCAGCAAGAGACACGATACATTACAAGTTATTTTTTTCATTCATAGATGTGTTATTAAAGCAGAATTGACCAATAGAAAAATGGCTGTCATTATACCAACAAACACAGGCATACATGTACTTATCCATGTATGCATATACTAATATGTAATTACTAAGCCTTCATTTGGCCATTTTATAAAGAGAAATAGTGATGGGTCCAAAGAAATGTGTGGATAATAATGAGTAGTAGTTATGAATGTGTGGTTGAACTTAATGTTTGATTTATATTGTATCCATACGGAGGCTAAAACCTAATTTAGGTATTCATGGAGAATTTTGTTAAAAACACATCATTTAGTAACTAAGTATGGTTATCTCAACTGAACACTTGAAAAATACCATAGAAAAAATGATTTTCAGAAGCAACAAACTAAAAATGGGAATACCATTATAATCTCCAACTCAAATTAGCACAGAAAATGTAAAACCAGATTGTCAAGAGCTTACAACTCTACTGGTTTGAGTGGAGGCGTTAACACAGAATCTATAGATTGGTTAGTTTGGCTATAAAATCTGTACATTGATAAAAATAGGTGAAGACATGAAATCCTCGTAACTCATATTCCAATATCTAAAAACTCATCCAAATACACTCCGTCTCTGCATTAATTTGAAGTAGAACCAGCTCTGGTCTAAATTTCTCTTTTCCTGTGAAAGCTATAGATACCAAACATTGTTTCACAGAAATTTGGACCCGCTGAAAATCATGTTTTTGGGCATATATAACTGTAAATACCAAAAATTGAACCACAGTAAGAACATATATAGCTAATTGTTAAAAGATAAAAAAAGAAGGTAAAGTACTTTGGCAAAGAAGGTTATTTGCAGAAGTTATAAGCTTGGCCAAACACGTTACACGTGAGGGGAGTGTGCATACATATGGCCCAATGTAACAAATTAAGCTTATAGAGTACGTGGTTCAACAAACTTGTAAGAACTTATAGGGTTACCTTTTTAGAGCACTTGTCAGGCGATGGACATGTACCGGGATGACATGTCTCTGGGCATAAATGTGTACAGTTTGGCAACTTTCTGCAAATCCAAGATGATAATTAACTATATAGATTGAATAATAGGTACCAAAAAGCATCACTCATACACAAACAGGAATGAGAAAACTACATCGATTGACTGCATATATGTAAATGAAATTATAGACGCCTAACATGTTGCAACGACAGAAAAATTACCTTCTCTATCTGACGAGATCTGACTCGAACATAGAATCTAACCCCCACCCCCAGTAGAAAGGTGCTAAATAAACTAAATAGGGGGAGGGGGGGGGGGGGGGGGAGGCAAATATGACAGCTGATGTTTAACTCAAGGGGGAAATGAAAAATCTGAGTGTTTTATGCAACAATACAACCCAGCTCCCATCTCATTTTCGGACTTAAATAAAACAACACTCCAGGGTTGAATAGTAATAAGCATTTAGTTGTTGATGCACTACGACTTCGGCTTCTTTCTTCCAAAAATCATATATCCTCTCATCCCATCGTTTACTGCAGATGTGGAGAAATTTTGTTCTACATATTAAACTCATTTGTATGATAGTCAGAAATGCAGTATAAACGTGCTTCGCAATGCATACTTCTCTCTCTCCTTGATTTATCTTTCAGGACCAGAAACTGAATCAATCCTTGTTATATATATATACCTAATTTTCTAATTGTCTTAAAAGAATTCTTGCTTAAACCTTTTTAACTGAAATCATATATCTTCTATAATCATTGGCCCTACTTCGAATACATTGACCCTACACCCCTACCCTCACCCCAAATAAAAAATGATCATGCACCCAGCCCTGCATATTTATTTGAAAGCTATCAGGAAATATGAACAGTTCCCTTTGCCCAGAATCAATTTTTAGTTTTGAATTCATTTTGGATTTTGTGTTTTGAGTGTCTATTTTGAGATTGTTGAAAACGCGTTCTTTTTGTCATTTTGAAATTTTTTTTAAAAAAAATGAAATTTTGACTTGGTTTTAACTGAAAACAGCCAAAACGATTTTTTTGACGTTTTTCGTTTTCTTTGTAAATTTTAAACTCGTTTTTGAAAATTCGTTTCTGAAAATAGGTAAGTAAACGTATTTTCAGTATTTTTGAAAACTGAAAATGGCCTGAAAACAGCAAAGAGATCAGACCATTATTCTCTAACAGAACATCATCACACTCATCAATAGAATAGTTTATACACATAAATCTCTTCTCGGGCCATCTACACTGGCTAAGACTGCTCTATTTCAGTTTTAGGGAATAGTAACAGGTTAACCGTTAACCTAGCCCTGTATTATCTGTACAATTAAAAGAGCGCAATACATAACCTGTAGATCTTAGCCTTCTTTAGTAAGTTCGCCTACATCTCAAAAATCATCAATTTGTCACGTATTTTAGAATTCATATGAACAAAATACTCAGATAAGAATCCCATTGAGGTTTTGTTCCCCAACTATCTTTTCCTCTTTTTGTAGGATTCTTTTGCATCACTGGGAGAAGGTAGGGTGATAGATACTAGATTTATATAATTTTCCCACATGGCAGGGTGAAGGAACTGAAGCAGCTCTGGCACATTTGAGCCAAAGGTAGATTAAAAAAGTGAGAACAACATAACTTTCATAACAGAGTTATTCAGAAGACTAGCCTCTTTCTTTGTACAGGTTACCATCTCTTGTATAATCTCATTTCTTTGAGAAAAATTTTAGAAAGTAAAAATATATTACCTATGACAAGGACCTCTGCATGATCGAACGGCCATTTGCTCTTCTTTTGACATGGAATTAAAATATATACACTCAAAAACATGCACCATGGCTCCACAATGACACGAACGCTTAATCAGTGCTTTGCACGGAGGGCATTCTCCTTGATGACACGGCAGGGGGCAAGGATGCGGACATGTAGGATGTCTCTCCTGAATGCAGATCACAGAAAGAGAATCCCCGTAAATTCAGTATACAGTGCCATAAATAGAACTTCTAGATGAATCAGATACATAACTATGTTGATTATTGTGGTGCATTCCTAGAAAACTAAGATTGTTGTTTTAGGACACAATGCCCTCAATAAAACTTCCATGTGACAGATATATAAAATATTATTGAAAGTTGTGGTGCATTCCTCAAAAATAAGATTTGTGTATGCAGTTACTTCTGAGCAAGAAAATTAACATAGGAGTTTCTTCACTAATCAGCATGATAACAAGGTCACAACAAAAAGTTTTCACCTTTTCGCAAGGAAGAGTGCACTTTTCACAGGATTCGCCTCTACTAATTCCCTCTGATTTTGATATGTGACGTGTCAAGGCATGGCAAACGTAAGTACAGTGATGATTTCCACAAGGAAGAGGATTCCCACACAAGTTCTCACAAGAAAAATCTGCTCTATTTGAACAGACCATCTGAAAGAGGAGGATAAAGAGAATTATAAAGTTATCACCGCAAACACACGAACGTGAAGCCCAAAAAGCTCCTCCAGCAAAATTGGGAAAGAAACTCAGATAGAAAAAGATAACATGAATATACAGCAAAATGCAGATTGAAAATTTGTCTTATTTACAGCTTTAAGAAACTCTAATACTAACCATCCTCTCTGCACCTATGTGATGACCAACACAGGACCTCAACACAAGTTCTGGGCAAGGAGGACAAGGGGAACCAGGAGTAGGTTCAGTTTGATAATTTGACTTCTTTTTCTTGGGTTTCAATGTAAATTCAGGAATAGGAGGAGGTATTGGTCCATGACACCTACATACATAAAAAAATAGTAATTTATAAGGTATTGCAACTTCAGGAAAATATTATATAAAATACCGGTATTTGATAAAAAGCAAACCTTAATTTGCACTTGTGTCCACATGGATATTCTCCATTACAAATTAGCCGACACAGAGGGCAAGCTCCATAATGGCATCTATGAGGCTGGAAAACTATTTAACATGAATTATGGCAGGAATAGTTTATAATTTAAACTCAAAAGTCATTGAAAAAATATATATAGTTGTCCAGAGAGGGGCCAAAGTAGTCAAATATGAAGACATTAATATATAAGCAAGAGAAATTGATGGCAAGACAAACCCAATAACTAAATTTAAGTAGATTTCATTTAATAATACTAGCATGTCTCATGAGGTGAATTAGACAGTAGTGAACACTATTAAGGAAGAAAGTGAAACTAAAATCCCTCTATTTGTAGTATCTAATATGGTCTAATGCTACATTCCAAACACACGTCAAAATTATCAGAGGACAGTAGATATAAGACAAGTAACCACCAATACTACCTTGCTACTGGATGCATGCCTGCATAAAGGAGCTATACGACATGGTTTGGGACACTTTGGAGGTTTATGCTCAGCCTCTGTGCCACAAGGAACCTGATAAAAAAGTAAAAAAATTAGTTGTAACTTGTGGAACGAGTGCTGCAATTTAACACTATAGGAAATTTGTTTTCAATTGTTTGGACTATAACTGTTACTTCAGATTTTCCATACAACAATTTATGGAACAGATGTCTAAATTGAATGAGTCTGCAGAAATAATTAGAGAGACATCCATATATTGCCGGCGTCACTCTTCTTCAGGGGGAAAAAAAAAGAAAAAGAAAGAAAAGGACATTGACTCATGGGTGGATCCACAAATACTACAGATTTACATGCCATATAAACATTTTCAGGACCTAAACTAAGATGCCACATTGCATTAGCACATAGCTTAAAAGCAGCAAAAAGGCATGCCTAGAGCTTGTTTTGATGGAAACGCAGTGTTCATTCTTACAAACCATAGTATTGTGTTTTGAATCCAATGTGGAATAGCATATGATAATATTCCCCAAGTTTTAAAGCTGTGTCCCAATTAGGAGTCTGCCACCTCAGGAAGTACCAGTTTTCGAGGTGTGTTTTGAGATTTATGTTCACTGTGGGGGATTTCAAAGTACATAAAATCTTACGATCAATGTGAAGATATCAATAGGGACTTTGCATAAAAATATTAAAAAAGAAAAAAAGATTTTCCAATAGTAGGTATTATGTTATCCAACGCTGACTCCAATTGCAGAAACAGCCAAAAATCTGCAGTATACTGCTGGAGACGTAAGGCTTGAACTTGAGAATTAACAGCGAGAAAAATTTTGTCTATAGTTTGGTTTGAAATATAAACATGTAAAGGAGCATCTGAGAAACTCATAAAAAAGATAATAAACATAAATCAAATTATTTTCTATAGCAAAAGGAACTAAGACTTTGGTTGGCACCCATCCAATATTATTGAACAATCAGGTCCAGCACAAAATTATTCTAAAGGATGTTAACCTCTTCTTTTTCTCTTTTCCTTCTAGTTCTAATCAAATGCTAGGTACTCTCACTTAGTCTTGATAAATTAGTTCAACAAGGGAGGCCTTATCATACTGACAATATTGCCCAAAGTTGCCACAGGCTCAAATGCTTAAATATCTTCCAATGCTAGAAAAATGGTATAAAAATATGATCCTACAAATAGAGCTTAAATATCTTCCAATGCTAGAAGAATGGTATAAAAATATGATCCTACAAATCGTTTATAGTATTGAGAGCTCTAAACAACACTGACACAAAAGATCTGCCAAAGTTCTTCAGATACCATGTATTATAAATTAAATTGATGATGCAAGTTTGTAGTTATTCAACACTGAGCTTTAAAGAAATTGAAGCAATACTTCATTCACAGAATGAATAGCCTTTTATTATCGGCTTTTTCGGAGTAGCGAAGGGATTTCCTTGAAGCCCGAACACTAAATGCCTGGCTATTTCCCCCGTCCAGTCCCCTAGGCTGGGCCAAGCTAATAAGATCTTCTTTATTTTTGTTTTCATTTTTTCCCTTTACAAATTAAGCACCTGAAAATTTTGGCGGGGCATTTCTCCAAACATAAATGAAATAAAAAAAAAAAAAAAAACACTACCATATGCTTATATAACATGTCAACATTATCTCTGGTACAAATAAAAAGTAAAGCGGAAAAACCACTTTCTAATCAATAAGACGGAAAGTATTAGCCCAATTTCTAGTACACACCAATAAATGCTAAGTTGCTAACCTCAAAGTGTGTTGTCCCACATGAACATGCGATAGAGACCATCAATGGGCAAGGAGCACAAGCACCTCTACAAGAAAAATATGTGAACGAACTTTGAAATAGTTCACCAATGAAACTCTGTTCCAAGCATTGCACGGAACTCATCACAACGGACTTTACCTATGACATGGAGCTGGGCATTTATGGTTCCTACATCTGAGCTTCCGGTCACAAATCTGCGTCTCCAAAGCAACAATACACTATTAAGACATCGGCAATTATTTCAAAAACTTTTGGAACATAGAGAAGACAGTGACACAAACCTCAGAGCAAGGAGGGCAGTCCCCATCACAGCAGCGACGCTTACATGCATGTCGTCCACATTCCCTCATTTTCTGGCACTTCCTCTCGCAGGTTAAGTCTTGATAACAAGGAACCTATTCTAAATGTAGTTAACCATTCCCAATATTGATCGCATTATAGAAAAATATTGAGAAGCGAGAGAGAACTGAAATCAGTGGCTAATTAGAATTTCTAGGTCATACCTGTTTTTTCAAGCTCCCACACCTACACGACTTCGTAACGACAATCCTACAAGTCTCAATGCACGGTCCACGATGGCACCTTTCAGGACACCTATGGAACCCGCAGCTCAGCATCTTATTACAAGTTGACCCACAAAGTGGCACAGTCACATCACATGCCATCCCCTCATATATTCGATTGCCACAAGGACAAGTCCTCTTCCCTTGAAACGGGCACTCTCCACACTCGCCCTCATGACATCCCCTATCGCAGCCATGTTTCCCGCACCCCAAAATTTTATTGCACGCGTTTTCGCACCTAAAATACCTCTCACAACACTCTCTCTCCATCTTCACCCTCCCACATTGGCACCTATAATCAACCTTCTCTCCGCACGGCGGACAACCCCCTTCATGGCAAATTTCTCCACACCTATGAATCCCACACTCCAGTAATTTCCTGCACACGCCATTACATGAAAAATTCTTAAGTCCGCATCTCTTCACATCCTCCAGCTTCCCGCAAAAGCACTTCGTCTTGACTAATTTTGGGCACGATGGACAAGCCCCTGGGTGACACAAGAGCAAGCAAAAATGCCCACAATTGTTCCTTAAAGCCTGGCCGCATATTTCCCCACAGGAATGGGGTAAAATCCATGGATCACGAGGCGGATCCTCAAGTTTCCCACAAAAACAATAGTAGTTCTTGGGGGTTTGTGACTTGGGGTACTCGACACGACACTTGGGACAGGGCCAGACAATGGAGTTCTCATCGGGAATTGCAGCGCGTGAGGTGGCGCGTGAGGTGGCGAGGGTGGTGGATTGGTGCGCCCAGGATTGGATGCAGATGAGGTGGAAGAGGCCAAAGCAGCGGGAGGTGCAGGACCAGGTGGGGTCAGTGGGCTTGATACGTTCGAGACAGATGAGGCAGGAGAGAGCACCGGAGCGGGAGGAGATTAAGAAAGATTGAATTTTGATGAGGTCATGTTGAGAGGAGGAACCTGTGGAGGAATGAGAGAGGTACGATTGGAAGATGGAGGAGGAGAGATCCACATGATGTTGGTCGTGGGTGGGGGAGTCGTTATCGGAGTCGGAGGTGAGTGGCAGAGGTTGGGGTGGAGGGAGAGTGGTGGCCATTGAGCTGGACATTTCGAAAAATTCGGCGGTTCGGTCAGCGGTGCCTGAGGGTGGTTTTCACTTTTGAGCTTAATTTGTGCCCCCATTTGTATAAGAAATATCGGGTTATCAAGCCCTTGTTGGCATCCATTTTTTTCATTCTCAATTTTTTGTTCTCTTTCTTCATTTCAACTACATATTTTATACTATATTAAAGAAGGATAGCTGCAACAGTATTCTCGCCTAAAATGCTGCCCCAAATTCCGGCCCAAGGAAAGGCCAAAAAAAAAAAAAAAACGCGTGAGCTGCACACCAAATTCAAATTCAATTCTAACATATTTTCTATCCATTCCTTTCTCGCCTCAACTCTCAATCGGCAAATAATAATTGTATCTAACTCTACCCACCTCCACCACTATCAGCAAATAATAATCGCATGTCTTTATTCATCTCTCCTCACTGTGAACTCTCTTCAAACAATTTTTTTTTTGTCAATTATCAGTGAA